CTTTCGCGAAATATGAAATGAAAATTGTTAGATACGCGTGATTTTCTAACAATAAAGGATCGAAAACTAAGTCACATGCAAAAAATGTATGTGAAGTTTTACGTTTTCTGCTTAACTCAATATCGTCCTTAAATAAACTTTTTTAAGTGAGACGAAACATTACTCATTTATTCACACCAACTTCTAACGTAATTGGGAATGATTCTCCAGTCGCGCCTAAAGTCCTCGCAAAATTTCAACTGGAGGAATCAGAGACAATTTAATTAACAGTTTTAATTACGTAATTACAAGTTTACTTGAAACCTACAAATGAACTTCGGAGTAAATCTCGGCGTTCAGTGGCTAAATCGAAGCTCACGTTTAAAACAATTGAAACTGCAATGCTATTCCCTACTGTTAATTGGTCTGTGAAATTAACGTGGAAACGTTAACGTAGAGCAAGGTCACAGATTGGTGTCATTTAGCTTCACTCTGCAGGAATATTGTTGCATTGAGTAGGTATTTCGTAGCATGGAGTATGTGTCTGTGTTGTTTTTTGATTATGTGCAGTTGGTTTTTATAAACCACAAACCCTTATTATCTGTTATTATTTTTCATATTTCATTCGTGAAAATGCTATAGTTTAGTTCTACAATGTAACTGTCTGTACCATTGAGAACCTAATTGACGTCTCGTCGTCCCTAAGTGACGACACTTCTTGCACGTCTCGCAGCGGTCAGTGATGCAAAAGGAGGTATTCAGGATTTTGGCGGGTGGTCACGTGTGTCGTGACTGTGTATTATGTGTATTGAACAACTTGACATTGTGCAAATTAGTGGGTTCATAGTATCTTGAAAGTGATTTAAGTTGATAAAAGCATTGTAACCACATTGACCATAAAAGATAAATAAATAACAGATACATTTTACAGCTGGTTTATAACTGTTAGATTTTGTATTGAGTAAAATAGTTTATTATTTGATGATACATGGAATACTTTCAGTGATCTTGTAATATTTTTATACGGATAAATCAAGAAATGCTTTGACACGGAGGGAAGAGAAATTTGACAGTTAGTGAAGAAAGTTAAAACTTTCTGATTCAAAGGATAAATCATAAGCAAAAAAAAAACAACAAAATAATTATGAAGTTTGGGTTCGTGCTAACGTCGAATTTGTAATGTGCGCCTATGCGACTCATTCTAGAGTAGTAAGAAATAGACTGAATTTCAATGAAAATGTGATACGTATTCATTGACAATAATGTAATAAGATGGAAAACATATCTTAAGATTGAAGAAAATGGTTGCTAAGTCCGGTAAATGAATTATTGTTCAAAGTATTTGCGCTTGAAAATGTACGTTTTTCATATACTGTTTCTTTAATCAAACACTGTATATCAAAAATGAACCTGCAAAGAAGTTTCAACAATCAAATCAGATCCGTGGTAAATACAAGTATAGTTACTGCAGTAAAAATGTTAAAGTATCTGGATTATTAACAAGTTCAAATCGAAGCTCGAAGTGATGTTCTGACTTTGATTTGGTGAAAGGTTTGCTGCCAGATCATTCTAATGCATTTGTGAGTGGAAGTGATTCAAATGACTTTTAATATTTTTTTCGAAAACTCAAAGTTTTTTTGTGAAAGATAACTTTCAATTTGTCATTTACAGGAATGCTTAAACGCTATTTTTCTCAAATGGCTCCAAATTTGTCAACAAAAATTTTCTTATAGGACGAGGTTTTTGTATTATTTAATATTCTGAAAGGAATATATTGGTTCTACCATTAGAAAACCAATAAATTGAGAAAATTTGAAAACAAATGTACTACTTTGAGCGGCGATAGATTTCAGGTGCCAAAATAATGTGGAAAGACCTAAAATCTAGCTCAGACCAAAGAAATTAGAAAATTAACTAGTAAGAGAAAGTCTGTGTCATTGTGTAGCACAAATAGTTTACTAAAAAATCATGAAGTGAATAACTAAAATAAAGAACTACAATGTTGTATTTTGTTATTTTTTTTAAATGAAGTGTTAAGGTTTTATTATTTGAAAAGCAGGCTTCAGTTTATTAAAAGTAAATAAATGTTTTGAAATATTGCAATTTGTTTATACTCTTATAGAAATTTTATTAGAAAGAGTAGTTTTGTTAAGTATGTTTCCAAGGGTCTTTCTAATGACCTTGAATTGTGAACTAATAACTTTTTGTGACTAATTACGGTATAAATATTATCACAATTAGAAGAAGACACAATTATAACGATAATCCCAATACATTCTGTGCATCAACAGCAGTAAAACAAACTCGTAACCAACATACAACCTTAAGCAAGATTGAACATATCAACAAAAATATAACTTTCGTAATCAATTTAGAAATATATTGAATGAAAACGTAACGTATAAAATTTGTTTATAATGTTTTAGTTTTTAACTCAAAATAATTACCGTAGTCAATTCTGACACTTCGTTTAATAATACTTATTCATACAATAAAGTTAAATATTACATAACATAATATAATAAATTACTAAGTATCCAAAGATTTATGAATACATCTAGTTAAATGTTTGAGCATGAACTTCATGATTTTTTCATGAGGTCCTAAACGTTCTCAAGTCGAATCTATTGCTGCTTACCAATATATCTCAGAAAGTTTTTGAAACATTACTTATAATAAATAAAAGATCTCAATTCGAAAAACGTATATTCATTGCCAACAGACGCATTACTCTAAAGCTTTATTCACTCACATGACTGGCCTAGAAAAATATTACATATACTGACTCTGTTTGTGAACAAATATTAATTTTCTAATTTGTCTTTGATTCCATGCATACGAAACAATCTCTCTACGTTTATGAATCAAATTCTTCAAGAAATGTCACTTTTCACTTTAAGAGCAGTATAATTGTTTCAAACGTCAATTTATCTATATTTTGCAGAACGTCTCTAAAATTATTTTACATTTTTGTACAAA